AGAGACATTATCTCCTTCAGTTTTACTCGTAGCTTCTGTGAACTCAAAATGCTCTAAACTACTCATTAAGCATATAAAAAAAATGTGGATGCCAGTGATGCAATTATTACAGGTAAAACTGTTAAGTCCCTACATATTTTGTTCTCCAGTTCAAAAAAACATTTTTATGAATAAGTATTTATGAATATTTAACATATCATTGCTAGTTCTAAACATCACAATGTAAATGTGTAAAATATGTTACACAGTTTCTACATCTGTTTTATCAAAAGCTGACAACAGCATGGGGAACTAAACTGACCAGCTGATTCAGTAAATCTTGCTATCCTGGTATTCACGTGCTCACCCTTACCAACATAGGAAACATGACATATGTCAAGGCTCCTTGTGCCTGAAGGGTGAGCTACCTTGCATGTATCAAAAAGCAGTATCCTACCTGTGGCCAATATCCTGGAGCAGATGCAGAATTGTAGCTTAATACCTCACGTAAAGAGCATATTCTTAAAGACTGTACTGGTTTTATGTCTATTTATCTGCCAGTTCCACTGTCCCCCCCAACTTCCTCTTGTCCAATTTCAACCAAATTTGATTATGGTGATGTGAAAAATAGCACCTGGGTACACGATAGAAACCTTATTAACATCTCTTCCAAAAAAAAAAAAAAAAAAAAAAGAGAGAGAGAGAGAGAGAAAGGGGGGAGGGCTCAGCCCTTATCCGTTCCATAGAGAATAATCATTCAGCACTCATACAGCTCTGAACTCAGGAGATGCTGCCTTCTGTCCAGTCATATATATATACGGGGTTTAGGCAGTTGATGAGACTGCCTTGAGTAACATTTATGAGAGGGAACACAGGACACTACTGTTGGCTTGCTATAGAAAGTATAGGGAGGAGATGAGAATATTGTCAGCAGGCTTAAGGGACCTGAAAATGTTGTGTATGCAGCTGCTGATGAGAGGACAATGTGGCATTTGCTACAACAACGAGAAAAATGAGTTCTTGCAACTTCTATTAAACTTGTGGAACTCATTGCCAAAGGATATTATGGATGTTGAAATGGGCTCAAGAGACAATTGAATGAGGCGCAAACATGAAATTCAAGAGACAGAGAAGAGCAATCCTCTGAGGGTTACTACAATGACAAAACCACACCAAGTTTAGAAACTTCCTGCAGGTAAAAATAATTGAAAGCTGAGACACTATTCATGGAGAGTACCACATATGACTTCTATATGCAGATACCTAAGGAAAATTAAGAGAAGGGAAATCCTGGAGACAGGATACAGCATTAGATGAGAGCCATTGGACTGATTTGCTATGGCTGTTCTTAAGTGGTGGAAAACTTAAGCGAGGGTATTGAGGATATTAGGGATGGGAAGGGGAGCTGAAGTTGTTTTAGTAAGCAAATGCAGGTGAAGTAGAGCACAAATATATAAGAAGCAAATATTAGTTTTATTGCCAAAGGAAAAATAATTAAAAGCAGCTAATAATAGATGCATAAAATGAAAAGCATTGGGGACTGTGTTGAGATGATGCTGGCATAGTGATACCATCTGAATATTTCATCATAATGATGCCAAGAAAGGTATTACAATAATTCAAGCATTATGATGCAATTATATCTTTGGACAAAGGTTCAGTGGGGTTTTGGTGGTCTGTAAGTGTAAGTAATTCTTCGCAGTCATTAACCCCCACTTCCTAGTGGATCTGCTTGCACTGAAAGGCCAGGATCTCCCCTGGCATATTCCACCAAACACAGAGGAGGTTACAGCACCAACCATTGCTCTGCTCCAGCACTGCGCTGGTGAAAGAGAAAAGCACTGCCAGATGAGCGGTTGGGACAGGGATTCCCTCAGTACCATGCATGTAGTGCCACTACCATAGCATGAAGGAGGAGCGGAGTCGAGGATAGGCAGAGGCAGAAGCAAAGGAGGGACCAGGCCAGGGTGTCAGCTATGCAGAGAGGGGCATGAAAAATATTATAGAGGTGACAAAATTATTGATACCTAATTTTGTATTTTTTAGTACTGTATTTCAGTACCACTTAGAACTGCTTTCCTACCATAATATGGTATAAGTATATAACCCTTAACTTCAGGCAACAAGACAAGATTTGCCTGTAATACACAAACCCTTTTTCTTTCTACTTCTTTTGTTTACTCCACAGAAAAAGAAAAAAAAGAAAAATCTTGTACTGAAAAAAGGCATCTCCAAGAACAATATCTGTGCACTCAGGCATTCTGGATAAGTACCTGCATTAACTATATTTGGACAAATACATTAAAACCAGTTTAAAACAAACACACTTTCCTGGCTGAAGTTCATGACACTTTTCCACTAAAAAAGTTCGGAAATAAACATTTTTTGCAATTTCTTATAAACACGGCTTGTTAAATAAAGGCTTACACCACTCTCTTAAAGTAGAATAGAGAAATGAGAACAGTCCTGGCTGAATAATTGGAATGAAACTTTAATTGGAGTTTCAAGATCCTGTGCACTGAAAAGAGTTCATCATCTCCAAAAGCTGGCAAAGTGTTCCTAGACTCACCAGTCTCTTAGCTTTAAAAACCCTACAAAACTGAATAGCCACACGAGAAAGTTTTAAAATTGGCTGTCTTGAGGTTCACGCATAAGCACCAAGAAGCAAAGTTACTTTAACTAAAGTAACAAAGTTGGATTTGGGGAAAATTGTAGAGGCTTTCAACACACAATGTGCAGATATGCACAGCTACATACTTCACTTCAAAGAAGTGTTCATTTGTTCTTAAGGTTAACAGAAACTTCAATTATTTTGGAATCTTTTGTCTTTAATTCAGAACTGTTGCCAGTTGTAAGGCAGAGGGATGCAAAACATGATGGAAGCAGGGGCACACACCTTACAATCTCTCAGGAAAACTTTTTGTGTTATTTTATCCTCCACGTGCAAGTAAGTCAGTCTGAAGCATCTGAAAGCACTCTGAACGAAAAAAAAAATACAAGTAACTGTTATGACTCCCATTTAACATATGGAGGGAAAGAAAGATTAAGTCATTTGCCAAGAGCAAGGAACTACAGAATTAGATACAGTCCATCAGAATTCAGCAATTCAAATAATAACACGGAAAGAAAATATACACACATTATCCAGAGAGAAAACTGCAAACTGAAGTAAAAAATGCTTTTTTCTTTTTGTGAAGAGAGCTCCGTTTTCCTTATTTCCTTAGAGAATTTTCCCATTTATTTTCAAATCAAACAGACTATACAGTGCCTGTTCTACCTTTTCTACCGTGTACCATAAAATCACAACTGTCACTACCTGGATTTTTTTTTTTGTCTTATGATGACTATGGTAGGGAGTACACTTCTTGAGAAGTTTACAATAGTCACCCCAGTTGGTACAGATGATTAAAACACACCCAAAATAATCAGAAAAATATTTCTCGATTGTTTTTGTTACTTTTTTCCATGGAAATACTATTTTCACTGGGTGTTTTTGTCTTTTAAAAACAGTGGCTTATGATCTTAGACCCCCCATTACAACAGGTGTTTAAAACACTAGAACTCCAGCAGCCAAAGTGCTTTATTTGTGAAGCCGTATATAGAGAGGTACTTCTCAGCCATCATACCAGCATTTTTCAAAGAAAGTATCCAATTCCATGATGTGATCTCATTGTTTCTATTAACTATTTTAAATGCCTGTATGAAGGCATATTTCTTCTGTAAACTGAAACTGTTTTATTTTCTGGCTTGTCATGGTAGATTGCAAAGAACATACTCCATGTTACATACAGTAATATTACTGCAACTTCAAACCAAATAAACCGCATATACGAAAGTATGATAACCAAACCAATACCCGTATAATTTAAAATCTTATCAACTGAAATACTGCAGTCTAATCATCCAAAAAATTAAAGGCATGCATAAATAATAGAAATACCTGAAAAGACAGAGAAAAAATTATTTATGTTAAGTTATCACTTTGCTAAGCCTTTACTTTCAGGTGTTAAAAAATCTTGAGAAGTCCATTCAAATAAGTTCAAATAACTTCAGGCTCATATTTTCAGATAAGGTCCTGAGATTCATTATCAAGACATAAACCAATCAACCCGTTATCATTTTACCTTGCAATTAAATCAACTGAGTTTGAGTTTATTATATCAGAAAGTATTCTACTTACAAGTGAGCCTTCCTTTGGAGGCTAGAAACATTTTGTGCCTTACGAGAAAAAGTAAAAGCCAGGAGTGATTCAGCTGCTTAGTTATAGCTGACTGGTACCATTTCGGTTTCCCTACAGTATTTATTTGATATATCTCTATGGGGCTGACAGATATGTCACAGGACAACTTCTGGACTGGCAGCTGGAACCCAGACAAGATATTCTACTGTACCTGTAATGGTACTAAACACTTAGGTTTAGGTAATTGCATTGCTCTATCACTTTGGCAAGCTCCAAATTTGCTGCTCTATCCCATACTCCACACTTTTGTTTACCTGAAGTACTTTGTCTCCCAGACGGTATATTGGGATTCTCAGTTCCCGCGGATTCATTTTGGCGGGCTTTGGCAAAGAAGCTGAAAGCGCACAGAAGCTTTTGTGGAACTGTTTGCGAGGTGCCACATCCATTTCCTATTCTTTTTTTAATTACAAAGCTGTGTTTGAGCTACCCATCCTTCCCCTCACCCCCTAGGCACATGCCACACAGAATCCTGCCTTCTGCTCAGTTTGCCTACAAACAGCCTCCCATATCGTACCCAGAACATTTAAGGCCCAACGGACAATCACCTTTTCACATCTCTGCAAGGTCTGAGAGTCACTTTTCCTACGTCTCCCCGACACGCACAGAGTCCTCACACTGCCGTTCCCACTATGCTGTCCTGCCCAGGGAAATTGCAGCGCTCCCCCCCTCACCGCTTCCCTCCCTCATCTCACAGGGCAGTAGCTCAGAGCATCTCCTGCTTGCCAAATACGAACGCTCGCAACCGGCTAGTGTCTCCCCTGAACTATCCCGACGTACTCACAGGGTCTGGGTGTCCTCCGGAAGGCTGGGAATGAAGTGGATGTCCCTGCAAGTGATTCTGTAGTCATCCTCGTCGGAACACTCGCAGAAGGCTGAAGGACACCGCTCTGTGCCCTGGCTGCACAGCACCAGCAGCAGCAGCAACAGGACGGCTACCGGCAGGCACAGCATCTTCCGCCGCCCGCTCCCGCTCTGCCCCTCGCTTCTCCCGAGGGAAAGGGAGGAGGCACCGGCGCTGCCCCGCCGGGAGCAGCTGCCCGGGAAAGGCGGCCCCTTTGCCGGCCGCCGCCGCCGCCGCCTCCTCCCTGCGCGGGGACAGGAGAGGTCTCAGCAACCCCCCCGCGCCCTCTCCTTCGGGCAGGCTCCCCCCCCTCGCCCCG